TTTAAAAAAATTTTTGATTCGATCAATAATTAGAAAGATAACCTCAAAAAACGATTTTTTATACCAGTGTGGAGCCCCATCTGGTGGAGATATCGAGATAGAAATTCTATCTCTTTTAGTTTTGGAGATAGCCTATGCGAACATCGAAATTGGGACACCTGTACAGCAGTATGGACTGTACAGGGTGGGCAAATTTGGGTGTTATTATAGGCTATCTCAGAAACTATAAGAGATACAAAAAAAGTAGGTGCCATGTCCCGGTCTCTTTTTCCGAGACTAACCCAATCCCGTAAAGACCAAATCTCTATCTTCTTTTATAGCCAAAAGGTCAAATTTTAGTGATTTCAAAAAATGCTCATATTTCGTTTATTTTTGAAATTATAGGAATGGGGTTGGTGGCGGGACTTGGTTTTTTGGGGCGACGGCGTCCGGTGTTCCGGTGTCGCGCCTTTATTTCTTTATATAAGTAAAATAGAGACGCGACGTACTGTCTAGAACGCATTATCTTTTCTAATTGGACGGAACCATCCTCTCCTCGCAGGGCTTATTCGTGTTTCTTTTTAACTTATAATTTGCTTTAATCGCTCTAAAAAAAATTAGAGAAATATAACTTTGAAAAACTGACGATGGCAACAAACCTCTCAGCAACAAACTTTTACCTGTAATTTCCTACCTACTTTCTTAGCTGATATTTTCCTTATTATTAGAGATAGCGAAAAACTAAATGCACCATTTGAAAGCATGACTCTGAACTAATAAGTTGATACATCAATAAAAATTGAACAACACCGCTCTGCACTTAAAATAGCACAAAATTACCAAACTTCAAACCCTTGTGCAATAAGTATTAAACCGAATTTTAAAAAACTGTTATCACAGTCAGAGAGCACTCTTTCAAATATCCTAATCCGGGTCTTAGTCGGTCAATATCTATCGGCGTCTTGCTTAAATCACCCTTAATATTCAGCCCCACACGCAGAAATGCTTAATTACTCTTGCTCTAAATAATTTCCTTAATGGCGAAAACATTATTAAAAAATCGCTATTACTCTATATATTACGTTATTCAGATATTAATACAAAAAGTCGTAAACAATTCATAGAAATTTATTATTATAATGTTGTTTTGAATATATTTACATTATTAAATAACCGGTTAACATTGAAGATATCTTTTAAGAAGATCTACTCACCAAGTGCTCCTCATATCTCGTTTAACACCCTATCATGAAGAACCAGTTGAAATCCTTCGTTTTAATCCTCATTATTGGAGCGGTTAGCGCCAGATTGAGCGATGAAAGTGAGTTTCATCAATATTAATTAAATATTTCCTAATTAAGATCATTAAACAGAGTGTAAGGAGTACCACAAAGATCCCAATGTCAAAAAGGATACCTTAATATCCGAGTTTCCTCATTTAGGATTGTTGGGATACAAAGATGACGATATCATCAAATATAATTGCCCCGCAACTTTAATAAGCGAATCAGTCGCTGTATCGCCAGCTTATTGCATGGTTACTATCCAGTAAGTTACAAAAAATAATTTTCAAAATTATTAATTATTAATTTTTAGGGGACCGGCTAAGTATTTACTCTTTGGTACATCAAATTCAAGCGATAACAACAATCGTAAACTTTTTAATATCACCGAAATCATAGTTCACCCAAATTACACAAGAACCAACTCAGTTCAGCAACGTTCATTGGCCCTCGTTAAATTTTCACCGCCAATAACACCCAATGATAATATAAAACCTGGTTGTTTATACACAAAATCAGTCGATGATAAACAAACATTAACTGATTTGCTTTGGACGAGGTCAGGGTCAGATCGGGTTTTATTTAAAGACGACGTTTCAATTGTCCCGACGGATTCTTGTATTGAACGTTATAAGAAGCAAAAAGTAACATTGATGATTGATGATCATTTCTTTTTGTGCGTTCTTCGCAAATATAATAGGGATTACGTTGTAATTATTTTAGTTAATTAAAAGTAAGATTGAGTTGTTAATTATAGCTGTTTTAGCAAAATATTGGGGGAACTTCCCACGTTGTAGAAGATGACGTGCCTAAAATCGTTGCGATTGACAATTTTGGACCGAGAATTCCTATCAATGAACTCCCTGATGTCACAACGAAACTTTATCATTATCTCGATTGGATTGAACAGAACGTTTGGAAAAAATAAAAAATCGTATCTCAATAACTTAGTTATTGAGACACAATTTTATATATAATTGAGATATAATCATGTATTATACAGGTCATCCACGATGACCGTCCATTAGAACTATACGGGGTTCTGGCCAAAATAAAAATTTTAAAATTTAGAGTTAAGTATTATCAATTGCGTTCTCTTCGACTAAAATATTTTCAGATTTCTAGCATTTCCGGTTATACCGGAAGTCGCCACCCACTTTATTTTTTTAAATGGAACACCCTGTATATTTTTACATATTTGGATTTGTCTGTTTTTAGGTTTGTGAATAACTTTACGTTTTGAAATTTTATTCGGCCGTTCTCGAGTTATTCGAATTTTTCTAGAAAAATCTGCTCCAGCAGACATTTGTTCAAAACATCAGAGATCACTCCATTTTTGGTATAACAATTTAGGATTCAGAACATGCTTAAGCAACATGATGGAGTATGTTTGGTGCCGAGTACGGCTATATAGAGCGTTTGGTCACTTTACTATGGCTCATTAACTTTTCGAAACTTGGAAGTACCATAACTTAATTTTTTTAAATGGCACCCCCCATATCTTATTACTTAGTCGTCTTCGGTGTCTCATTTTACATCTTTTATATCCGATATGTCCTATACCTAACACTTATAGTTTGGGAGATAATTAGGGTTCTTTGAAAAATGCACACATCATAACGATATTTAACCTAGTGTCCCATGAATACCTAGTGTGAATTAATGAATAACCAAATAAAGTGGGTTCTGATGGTATCGGTCTCAACCTTCTTCTTTCTATCCTGGATATAGTGCTTCCTCCCTTAACTCATATCTTCAACTTTTCTTTTGAGCGGTCTTTATTTCCCTCTGTCTGGAAGGTTGCTCATGTTGTTCCCATACCCAAATCCAAGTCCTCTTCATGTAACACTGATTTCCGTCCGATTTCAATTTTATCCGTACTATCAAAAGCTCTTGAACGTTTATTTACAAGTCCAAGGATTTCTAGAGAGGTTTAATTTACACAATGAGTTGCAATCAGGATTTCGCAGTGGACATAGTACAACTACTGCCCTCATTAAAGTTACTGATGATATTAGGTATGCCTGCGACAACAGATGTGTTACTGTGCTGGTACTGCTCGATTTCAGCAAGGCTTTTGATTCTGTCGACCACAGCCTTCTTTTAGCGCCTCTTTCTGCTTACGAATTCACTCCCCCCTGTGTTTCTTGGTTTCAGTCCTACCTTTCCCATCGCTCCTTGTGCGTACGCGCTAACTCTTCAATTTTATCTGTTTGTGCAATCAAATGTGGTGTTCCTCAGGGCAGTGTATTGGGTCCGTTACTTTTTTCTTTGTTCGTCAATAGTGTTACTAATTATATCTCGTGTAATTATCATTTGTAGGCTGGCGACCTCCAGATATATTACATTACATTACATTACATAGAATACATATCGGGTAAATGGACCAACCAACCTTGCACCGCGACCCTAAGGATCTATTGTACCCCGATAGATATCGTTATCAAATTTCACCGTGCAGTCCAATGCTCTTAACGAACATTAATACCTTGCTCGGCGAAAGGTCATTCAGATCTTTTNGCTTCAGTGTCAACATTCACTTGTTTTTTAAAACTTGAAAATATGTTCAAAATTAATCTTTAACCAAGCAGGGCTAAACCCCAAAAGATGACAATTAATATCGAAAAAAATTTACATTTTATAAGAGTCGTTTCACCTATCCGGGGACACACTGTATAGAGTTTTGAAGCAAATTTATATAATTTTTTTTTTGAGTATGAAAATTTTCCAAAGTGTTAATAAAAGTGTCCTCTTTCCAATAAACCAATCCGTTTTGAAAAATAACTGTTAGTTTTTGAGAAAACAATATTTGAAGTTTTGATAAAATTTACGATGTTGAAATTTTCATTGATAATTTTCATAGTTCGCTATAGAATTCATTTCTTAAAGGATCCTAGTGGAAATATCATCAATTATTAATTAAAGTATCCTCTTTTTAATGCAACAAGCCGTTTTAAAAAATCACTTTTAGTTCTTGAGAAATAAATTTTTGAAATGATCGATAATTTTTTCGAATTTTGCAATTTTTGCCGATTAAGTTTTAAAAATTCGTATAAAATCCACTTCTTGGAATATGAGTATGAA